CATGTTGGACACCAGCAGGCCAAGAAGGCAGCAAAGAGAAAGCAAACAAGTGATGCAGCCGAGCAGGTGCTAGGGGGGTTCACTGTCGTGGGAGCACATATATAGTTAGATATATACACCTACGCAAGCGCCCATGACAGCAGTATAGGATTCAATTTGATGCTCGGGGCCCCCGCGATTCAGGAGAAACATGTGCGGTTGCAGCTCACTCACGAGTGGTGGCAAGCTATCACTTCTGGGAAGAAGAGATGGGAGTTCAGGGCTGACAGCAAATATTGGAGACCTCGCTTGGAGAATGCCACCCACATCATCTTCTGTCGAGGCACTTCGGTTTGGATGGCTTTTTGATTCTGTAAAAAAAAGCTTTATGAAAGAGGCCCTAACCTTTTCTATTCCTTTATCCTTTGTGGATACTGACCTCAATGGTGTCTTCAGCAAGGCTTGCCCCCCTTCTCGGGTGCGGCCCCACACATATATATATATATATTTCAACCGTTGAAACCCCGTTGCAGGATATAGCAAGGTTGCTCTTCCACCGAAACGCATCCTCCGGAAAGAGGTCATGACAGTTGATGATGCCCGGAGCAATCTGAATATGCCGGATGGTCCTTGGGCGCAGGAAGAGTCCGTCATAGCGATGAATTTTGAGGCGGTCGACCCCAGCGAGGTTCCTAAGGACTGCTGCTTCCTTTGAATGGGCATGACGTGTAACCACCCTTCAAGTATGGTTGACAGGAGATTTGCCTCAATATGTGTGTTTTTTTGTTTTGCCTTGTCTTTCTGTTGGTTTACTGTTTTTGTTGTCTAATTCCTTTTTTAAAGCCACCTTCAAATTTGGTATGACGGGAGGAAGCCAACGAGAAACTACAACAGAGGTTGCAGAGCTTTCGTGAGCAGTCCGCCAAGATATCCAATGACATAGCGGAGGGTGATGCGATTGATATGGATCTGCTTTTCAAGCCTTCGGACGACCGGAAGGTGAAAGACCCCAAGGAATTGAAGGCCTGCGGTGTTCTTGCATTTTTTGCAATCCGGCTTCCTTTCCTTCTTGTCGGTCCGTATCAGCATTCACAGGTTTTTGTTCACGGTTGTTGCAAACAATTGCAGCAAACATGTGAATAGAAGATATTATATATAAATATTTTATATATGTATGAATATATATTTTGTGGAGCACCAGGCCATGAAAGAAAGACCAATTCAGCTTCCAGCCCTTCTTTTGCGCCAATTTTGTGAGTACGCTTTCCGCCATTCACCCCACGAAGTCATGGGCTGGATAACGGGCACCATTGAGACCAAGAAGGGCGTTGGCCATTCCATTGTATACTGCAACGGATTATTCCTGCCGCTGCAATCCGGCACCAACTACTCTGTGCAAGAGCCAAAAACCGGCGACGCCCCACAGGAGATGTTGGCGCACCTGGAATCGACAAGCTCTGTGATTGTCGGATGGGTACACAGCCATCCGACATTTGATGCTTTTTTCTCAACAGTGGATCAGCACATGATGTGGCTGCTTCAGAGAGAGTCCCCGCAATCCTTCGGGATTGTAATCGACAAGGATCGAAAACCGAGAGTTCTTCGATTGACCGATGCTGCCATGGAGGAGGTCAAGTGCTGCTTTCAGGACGACTCTCCCATGTTTCCGTGCTTTTCTGCGAGGATTCTCCCCTAAGAAGGAAGCCCCCAACCCCCAAAAAACACTTACAGATCTTACAGTCAGTATGTTTAAGAGGGTTGCGAAGCATGAGGGTTGCGAAGCATGTTTGCAGTATATATAGAAGATATCCAGATGTGGATGCAAAACGCCACTGTCATCTGTGAAGACTGGAACATGGCTGTGGCAGGAAGGATTTCACGAACACAGCATCTCCAATGAAGATGCGGTGGTGGATCTTGAGTACTACATCCATCACAATGGTGCCCGCAGCCGACTGGTGTTCCACAACCAGAATTCTGCCTACAAGACGCTTGGCTTTGTTTTGCTTCTGTCAAACACTGATGTAAAGTTGCTTGACATATAGAAGATATTGATGTTTTCTTGATGTTTTAAGGTACTCGGTGCTCTTCTTTTTTTCTGCAGTAATTTCTTCTTATTATACACACCCGCAATTTGATTCATTAACATGGAAGTGGAAACTTGTCCCTTGGAGGACTACGTTGCTTGACAAACAGGAGGCTGTCCACTCCACTTCCATATTATATATATATATAGTTCATTGGAGTGTATGCACCTATGTATACAACCGTATGTGGTTATGTGGCTTTTTTCTTCAAACCTTACCCTCCATGCTATGTCCAATATCTTCTATTTGCACGCCCACAATTTGATTCACCTGAGGGCCCAAGATGAATTTGCAGCTCTGGCCCAGGGGAGACTCCAGAGAATGAAGAGCCGGGAAGAACCAGAAGGCAATCAAAATGCCGAGCCGGAGCCTGAAGAAGATTTGGATGATGATCCTGTCCCAGGTCCTCAGAAGAAGCTGCCTCGGGTGACAAATAAACCTGGCATGATGCAAACGCTTGATGAAGCGGGAGAGATTGTACAGGATATCTACAACTTCATGCTTGAGGAGTTGATGGACATCGTGGCAACCGACCCCCATGGCGCAGAGAAGAAGCTGTCAACAAAATTGGGACAGTATGCTGGTTCCAACCAAGTGGTGCAGAACATCTTAGCGCTGTCGAACTTCAAGAACGGTGCTTTTGAAGGACCAGTGAGTTGGAGTTCCTTTGGAAAACAGATCAGAGAGGCTAATGAGACCATCAACTCACTCAAGACTGAGGTGCGGAGGCTTCCAAACGCAAGGGGCGCTGGCAGACCATTTGGAACAAAGAACCGGAAGAGAGCGTGTGACGCTACCACAGCCAAGGCAAGCAAAAAGCAAAGGACCAAGGCTGAAGAGAAGGGAAAGGGAGATGAGGATGAAGAAGCGGAGCCCATGGATCCAGACGAGCCAAACGAGGACGCCTCATCCAACAAGACCGTGAACAAATCCCAATCGATCAACTTGCATACGAAGTGCATGATTGTCGAGTATGCCTTGGATGCGCAAGAGAAAGGTGAAGTTGCCTCAGTGGAGAAGCACGTAATGGAGAAATTCAAGAAGTATTTCTATTCCGTGGAGAAGAACCGCTTCAAGACCGGTTTGTTGTCAAAATGGGTGGAGTGCCCGGGATTGACAGAACACCTTTTGTTGCCAGTACCCTGTAGGGACTTTTGAAGGCTCATCAACCTGTTCAAAAATGTACGCGCCCACCACTGCGTCAAAACGTGTAATTTCTTCTATTCGCATGCTCAGTGTGATATTCCTCCCTCTCCAGCATTCTGGAATTGGCAGGTCCTATCACCGGGAGGAGTGGGGCAAGATCCCGTGGGACCATATGACTGTGTCTGATCGACATTCCATCAAGCAGGTGCCGAATTGGGTGCGGAGGGCCATGGGTCGCGAAGAGCGCTTTGTTTGTGGACATGAACGACATGTTCCGTGGGAGGTTGAGACAGCCTTGAACGAGATCTTGGAACCCTGTCCTCACGAGTTTTTAGAGTGATGAGTTTTGCAGGGCTTCAATCCGGAGAGGCTGCAAACTGATATTCTATATGTTTCATTTTGGTGTCACTGATGTATATGCAGTAGATTGTATATAAATATTATATACATATGCAGCATATACATCTGTAAAGAACACAAAAGCAACCCATGTCCTATTGAAATCTGGAGAGTGAGGAGAGACTGATTGGCGGCCCAAGTCGAGACCTACAATCGTGCTCAACGGTTAAGACTCCGTTGTTGTTGGACACCGCCAACGACCTCTTGGATTCCTTTGTGGAACATTTTGAGAAGGCGTGCAGATCGGAAGACGTCCCCGCAAAGGGAGTCAGAAAAAAACGTTTCTTGGGATACGCTTAGGTTTTGGACACTTGTGAGTTTTCCCGTGAAGATGACAATTGGATAGAAGATTTATATATAATAGTAGCTATGATGATACCGCCCACTATATAGCTTCAAGTCTCACAAATATGTTTGCATGCTGCGTTGAAAGTTCTGTGGCCCAAGGTTTGCAAAAAAAATGGATCGTTCGCTTCATGAAGAAATGGCAATGGTCCTACCAAAACAGCAACACCAAGGGAGCATTTTTGGCAACTACTTCCATCGAGATGGAAGAAATGCGCAAAGCGCACCGGATGCAGCGAGCAATGCTGGGTGTTGACTGGCGCTTGGTTCTCAACTTTGACCAGCTATGGAAGGGATCCTATGACCCAGCCAAGCGAGTCTTGCATAAGTTGAAGCACCGCAATGCCGTAAAGGACAACCTCAGGCCGGATGATGCCAGCAAGCTCAAGGCCATCAAGGAGATGGTCACAGCAGAGGCCTTGCAGAACATGAGCTACCCTTCAGGGAGTCGGGCCAGCAAACTCCGCAAGGGCGTTCCGAGGACCGTTTGCCTGACCATGTTGCTTTCAAACATCTTTGGGGAGAATCTTCTATTTGGAAGACTTGTTCTTTTTCTATACTGTAGGCAAACGAAATATATTGTGCCAGCATCATGTGTGCCTTTGTTGGGAGGACGGACTTCGTGGTCGGGGGTCGGCAGGGCGTAACAGCAGTTACGTCGACATGGGCCAACGGTGAGATAGGACCGTTGGGGGTATGCGTCCGCAACGGCAGCCTCACGCCTGGGGAGGTGGAAGAACTGAATTCCTCCTATCATGGACAAGTGTTCGTCTTCTTCTCCGGCAATGCGGAGTCGCACTTCATGTCGGCTGATACGACCTTGTCGTATTTGAGGCATTTGGTGGCTCCAGCAGCACGGCTGCATACCAAATAATAGCGGTGAATATCTTCTATTTACACGCCCACTCTTTACACGTCAACATGGAATTTGGAGGTGGGTGTTTGTTTGCGGCAGCAGCGGGGGCGGCAGCGTTGCAAGATCGGGTTTCATCTTTTGTTGAATCCCTATGAGTAAGAGGAGTAGGCATCCTTGACTGGAAGACGAATGGCCTTACAAACAGGAGACTGTCCACACCTCAACCTCCATGCTATGCGCAATATCTTCTATTTAAAACAAATCCAGGACATGGTGGACTGGACCTGGGGATTGGGACTGGCAGACCAGTAGGTACTTCATCTTTCTGATGAACAGAGAAACAGATGAATAGAAGATATATAACGATTGTTTAGACATGTGTTGTTTTATTTTGAGCCCATACTCCACTTGGAGTTTATATATATATATATATATACTTCCTAAAAAGACATCATTTCACACAAAGTTTCATCAAAAAAACTAAATTTCAAGAAATGGCCTCAAACCTCTTGAAACCTCAAGGGAAGACAGGAACTGAAGGAATTCGACCAGCAAACTATCCAAAAATAGTGATTTTTAACAATTTTTAAAAAATCATAAATTTCAAGAAATGGCTTCAAACCTCTTGAAACCTCAAGGGAAGACAGGAACTGAAGGAATTCGACCAGCAAACTATCCAAAAATAGTGATTTTTAACAATTTTTAAAAAATCCTAAATTTCAAGAAATGGCCTCAAACCTCTTGAAACCTCAAGGGAAGACAGGAACTGAAGGAATTAGACCAGGAAAATAACTAAGAATTAAAAATTAACTAGCTACTTTTTGGTTAACTTTTTCTCCTCTCCCCCTGTCTCTGTGTCTCTTCCCTTAACGGGGGGAGTCCGTTCCGTTCCCCCGGGTCCCGGTGGTCCCGAAGGAGCGATGAGTGTTTCGGGGCCCTGGGTGCCGAGAGACTCTCGGCACCCGAGCCGCCGTGCGTCCGGAGAGTCGAACACAAACACCGGGGGGCCCAAACATCGCAACAGGGGGGCTCGAAGACTCCAAGCTGCCAGGATTCAGTCTCCCGTTCAGGGAAGAGACACAGAGACAGGGGGAGAGGAGAAAAAGTGAACCAAAAGTAGCTAGTTAATTTTTAATGTTTAGTTATTTTCCTGGTCTAATTCCTTCAGTTCCTGTCTTCCCTTGAGGTTTCAAGAGGTTTGAGGCCATTTCTTGAAATTAAGGATTTTTTAAAAATTGTTAAAAATCACTATTTTTGGATAGTTTGCTGGTCGAATTCCTTCAGTTCCTGTCTTCCCTTGAGGTTTCAAGAGTTTTGAGGCCATTTCTTGAAATTTAAGATTTTTTTTTAAAAATTGTTAAAAATCACTATTTTTGGATAGTTTGCTGATCGAATTCCTTCAGTTCCTGTTTTTCCTTGAGGTTTCAATGCTGTTTAAAGGATGCACCAGAAAATGGTGGACTGGGACAGGGACAGGGATGCGTGCGTCGTTTCCGAACACATCCCAACGCTTTCTTCGGGACTACAAGAACTGCGACGCAACCCATTTGACATGCACTGTTGTCGCGATCCGGAAGAGGATGCATGACGAGGAGTGAGGAGAAGGAGAGGAGAAGGAGACAAGGAGGAAGGAGAGGAGAAGGAGACAAGGAGAGGAGAGGACAGCCTAGTTGCGGTCAAAGCGGCTTGGGAGCTGAAAGCTGTGGAGCCCGGCTTGGAGCTTGGGTTGAGAATCACGGGGCTGGAGGTGGAGGACCAGGAGTTTGGAGTTTGTAATATCTTCTATTTACTGGGGAAAACTCAAAAGCCTTTGGGAAAACCGGAGGGTTCACGCCGAGACTTCACGTAGAACAATATAGTAATATCTTCTATATATATATATATACTATATATATCTTCTAAAGATCAACAAATGAATAGAAGATATATATATTTATAATATATGACTTCGTGGAAGGTATTTTTTCTGCACTAACTTCGTATAAGCGATTTTTGCCGACCCACTTTCTCCACACACCCTCCATTTAGCCTTCAATGGGGGGAGACAGTGGTATGGACAGTAGGAGGCGTTGACAACATGCACCAAGCACCAACAAACACACACTGAGATTCACGCAACGAAGTTCCTTAGCCAGTGGCATGCACAAGTTGCCGGAATCCTGACAAGGACGCACAGGAAGGTGAGGAGAGGAAGAGGAGAAGCGCTGCACGCATTTTTTTTTGCATTTTTTCTTGTCTAATATCTTCTATTTGCACGCCTGCAATTTTCTCCAATCCCACACAAGTTTGCTGTGTGCGGGTGCGCTCCAAAGCGGTGTGTTTAGACGATTCTTTTTTACACAACCTCACTTCACTCAAACTTGTATTTTCACCAAGATTCTTAGGCGCTACAGCTCCGAAGGGCAAGCCTTGGACTGGCGGCCGACGCTCCAGCGCTCCTAATAGCAGATGGCTTCACGGGAAACTTTGCGTTCCTCCGAAATGAGGATGCACAGCGCCGTCAGTTTAGCGAGGAGAACCACTGCACATTGCCACTTAGGCCGCCGGGCGGCTGGAGTGCGACAGGACAACCGTGTGATGCGTGGCATCATCAGTTCCGACGCTACGCAAATGAGTACATCGACAGATGCTTAGGCTTCGGGGGTTCAAGGAGGATGGCAATATGGTCTACATTACATATATACGTATATAGACGTACACTTATAGTCTGGTGTTCAAAAAAACACAAATGACCGAACACCATTTCCATATAGAACATTAGAGTTTTAGCAAACCGACATGGAGTTCACCCCTCAATTAGAAGATATTCACTACGAAATCAGGGTATACACAGTCACATTGTTTTCTTCTATTCGTTTTGCCTGGGATGTGGGAGTGTGCTATTGTAGGCTATGTGCAGAACTCCCAGATACAAGCAAATCAAGCTGTTCGTCTTGGTGTCAACAGCCAAAAGGATTTGCAGGTGTCGGTGATGGACAATGTGAGATCCCTGATTTTTGCTTGGAGCGAAATGAAGAAGTGCAGAAGGCTGCTCCGATGGTCTTGGGTGAGCCGGGGCCTTGTCACGGAGGAGGAGATGCGATCCATGATGGATGAGGACGAGGCCAGGGACCCGATTGCGCCGGACACGCCTTTTCAGAAAGAACTGATTCCTGGTGTGCCTGATCTTGTCCCGTGCCTTTGCTTGAATGGTCTTTGTTCGAGTCATGGGGGAGGAAATCAAAATCTGGCAGGACCTATAAAGGATTTTATATAGAAATTTTCCAGACAACTTTTTGGTTTTGAAGCTCTACCCAGGTTTCCATCTTTGTGGGTCCTCCCATTTCAGCCGCACTCACTGCTCTCCTTTCACACACTCTATGAAAATATCTTCTATCCGAAGTACAGCCAAGGCCAAGCATTCCGGACACAGTTCTGTCCGCGTGCGAGAGCAGAGATGTTCACCTGTGGCAGCTTCAAGATATGGAGGACGACTCCAAGTGGGTGACCCTGCCAATGGTGTTGCAAGACTTTGCGGATAGGACGTTTGCAAAGTACCAGCTGGATGTCTTTGAGGCTCGAAAGAAGTTTGAGAAGGGCAGCCTGAGCCAACAGAAGCTGAAGGCGGTTGAAGAGAAGGCAACAATTCCATTGGTGTTGATGCACGGCAGTGGCCAACCAGCTACTGGAAAGTACATTAAGGACCACATGTTTGCGGACCACAGTGGGAATTTGAAGCTGAAGGACAGGTGTTTCCTGTACATCAATCGGGGGGTCCAAAATAGGGTCACCTGGGAAGAGCTTCAAAACCAAAAAGTAAATGGGTAAAATTTTATATAAAATCCCCTATTAAACCCGTATCAAAAATGCAAAAAAGCTCCAGATCGAAGGGTCTTCCTTTTCCCCTACAAAAACCTTCATTACAATATTTCCAAATAGAAGATTCGAGTTTTAGCCAAATTTTGAGTTGACCCCTCAAATAGAAGAAATTCTCAAAGGAGGGTTTTCTCTGCAATCGTGAGGAAGGCTCACGCTCCGTCCTGATCCTGTTCAACTTTCACACAAAAGCCATCAAAATGGGAAGCCTGGGCTGGACACCGATCCGTGTTCTGCAGGCCAAACAGGAGTTTGGCTATGTGACCCTGAGCATCGACAAAGCCTTGATGGAGGCCATGACCGTCCCCGGCTTGGACCAGTACAAATCTGACACGGAAGCAGAGGACGAGCCTATGGATGAGGAGGATCTTTTGGCTGCGCAAGGTCTCCAAATGGCTATGTACGCAGAGCAGGAGCCAGACCAAGAGGACCATGACTCCGATTCGGACAGCTTGGCACGATCTTTGGGGGACTTCATGGACGGAGAGCTTCCGCCGGATTTCGCGAACATGGAAGAGGACTTCTGCGACCCCACCGTCCGCACAGAGGTGAATGTTGAGTATGAGAGCCTCGAGTCGACAGATTTCATGCTGGTTGTGGCAGAACCTCTAGAAGAGGTGGATGAGTTTCTCGTTCCGGAGTCTGATGCGCCCAACGTTTGCCGAACATTGCAGTACATGAACTCCTCAGCCTGGAAGACGCTGTCAGATGCTGGTATGGCAAAGACTCCTGCTGTACTTGGAGTTGAAGGGTGCGGGCTCATGTACAATCGGCTTCTCGGACAATTTGTGAAATAGGGTTCATTTCTTCTATATATGGACAGTTTGAGGCGCTTGACCAATTTCTTCTTTCCAGTCAGAACTTTTTTGGTCTTATTGAAGGGGGGGTGTCAAGATTCAGCCAAACCTGCTGTGAGTCGGCAAATGTTCATGAGGTTTGGCCAATGGCAAGGACGCTACCCAGGCAAACCTGGGATTGGCCGGAGCTTTGGGCCACAAATTCGCTCTGAGATGTCGGCTTTGCTGGAAGTGCTCCATGGCCTGTGGCAATATCACCTGGATGTCGAAGGAGGTGATGGTTTAGTTGGTGATGTCACCATTGCAGCTTACGTTGAAGAGCTGGCCATGAGGATCACGACGCAGGTTTCATGAGATGGGCCTGAGAAGTTCCATCCAATGAGTGCTTCATTTTGTTGCACTCAGGATCATGCTTCATGAGTCTCCGTTTCACCTCGTAGTTATTTAGGAGCAGGGTCTCCCATGAATGGCAGATCTTTTGAAATTTTGTGAGCTTTCCACTAGTCCGGTAGCTTGTTATAGAAAGATATCAGACAGAGTTTCCAAATATATAGAAGATTTGAGTTTTGAGTTTACCCCTCAAATAGAAGAAACTCACTAAGGAACCAGGGTATGCAAAGGCAAATAGTGTATTGGGAAACCCTGCGTTAGCAGATGCGGCCACGGTCCCTGCAGAAAGAGCAGGATTCAAGGCTACTGAGGGTTTGGCCTTGGACTGTCCAATTGGACGCGTCCAATTGGACGATGTGGCAAAAGCGGTGCTCGAGTGCTGGTTTCTCTACTTTGAAGGTTCATTGCTATTAGGTTGCAGGCCATTGCTAGTAACCGCTAGTAGGTTGGAGGCTGTCGCTATTAGCTTGGAGGCCATCGCAACTGGATTGCTATCAGCTTGGAGGCCATCGGAAGTAGGTTGAATGCCATCACACTTGTTCCCGCAGGCGACCTTGCTGGCCATTGAGCTTATTTGTGGCGGCAGAAAAGGGCGACAACGTTATTTTTTTGTTTAGGTGTTTGATCATGGCTTATATGTGACAATTTTTGTCATTTTCTTCTATTTGTTTAGGTGTTTGATCATGGTTTATCTGTGACAATTTTTTGTCATTTTCTTCTATCTGTTTAGGTGTTTGATGGTCTCTGCATACCCCGGTTCCTTAGTGAGTTTCTTCTATTTGAGGGGTTAACTCAAAATTTGGCTAAAACTCGAATCTTCTATTTGGAAATATTGTTTGATATCTTCTATAATAAGGTACCGCAATATAGATCTGAAATCTCTAGACCTGTAGACTCCAGACCTTAGATCCTCTCGACCATCTCTCGGCCGTTTGGATGTTCAAGACCTCATCTCTAGAACTCTACACCTCTAGATCTGTCTGCCCCGGGGCCTTTAGACATGTCTAGGCCTCTAGATTTCTAAGAGCACACATACGAGAGGTTGTAATTCTTCACATCTACAAAGATCTCCAATCTCTTTGATTCAGAGATATCAAGAGATCTAGAGGCCTAGAGGTCTAGAACTCTTGAGTTCTGCAGGTCTAGAGATCTCAAGAGCTCTAGGTCTAGAGGTGGAGGTGTCAAGGTCTGAGGTCTAGAGGTCAAGATCTGGAAAGATCCAAAGGCCTAGAGATTAAGAGAATCTAGAGGGACATTTGCCGATTCAGAAACCAATAGAAACCAACCGACCAGGAAACTATGATTCAGAAACCAAAATAGTCGATTCAGAAACTACGATTCAGAAACCAATAAGGACGCTTCAGCAACTACGATTCAGAAGCCAAGGCAGTCCGATTCAGAAACCAAACGGTCCGATTCAGGAACCAAATGAGCCGATTCAATAACCAAATGGGCCGATTCAGAAGCCAAGCAGTTCCCGATTCAGAAACCAAACCAGGCGATTCAGCAACTACGATTCAGAAACCAAAACAGCCGATTCAGAAACCAAAACAGCTGATGCAGAAACCAAGTCCAGACTATTCAGAAACCAAGCCAGACGATGATTGCAATGGGGTGGAGGGAAGTGGGGTCGGGGGGTCGGGGGGGGGGGAACGATGGCCAAGATAATAACGTTCCGTGTGGATGCAAAGGGTTTAAGAATATGTCGGTATTTACAGCATATGGTTGGAAACGGCCGGTTGGTTTCTGCATCGTAGTCTCCTGATCGTTGTATTTACATTTCGTTCGTTGCCCATAAAAGCAACGTCAGCTTCACGAGCATTTGTAAGTTGGAAAGAAGAAGATGAATTTGTTGAGGGTTCTGCCATGCTAGTTTGGCATGGTTCGAGCAAAAACTGTTGTTGGTCTGTGTGCGTGTGACCGCCAAGAGAGAGACACGCGCAATCTTGGTTGATTTGTGATGAAATCGGCTGCTTCTCCTAACTACTACTGCTACCACTACCACTACCACTACCACTACTACTACTACTTCTACTTCTACTTCTACTGCTTCTACTTCTGCTACCGCTACTATTCCCCGATTGTTAGTTTCCTCTTTTGGAAATGTTTTATTTGTGGTTTTTGTTAATTGTATAGTGGTTTTGGTTGCCGAATTAGAGGTTTTGGTTATCGAATTATATAGCGGTTTGGATTACCGAATTAATGATTTTATTATCGAATCAATACTTTTGATTATCGGTTTATAATTGCGGATTAAAACATGAATTTTTGACTTAAATATCGATTTATTTAGAATTATATATATCTTCTAATATTTATTAAAAAACTTAAATACAAAAAATTCGACTAAATACATAAAAAACAAAAATTACTTTACTTCGAATGATCCCCACCATGACATTTCAATCATTTGTCTTGATGCCATAGTGAGGAGCATGTTGCCATGGTCGTGAGTATTGTAGTTCTCGATTTTGGTTGTGGGTCCTCGGGTTGTGTGCTGTGGTTGTGTGTTGTGCTTGTGGTTGTGTGTTTGTGGTTGTGTGTGTGTTTGTGATTGTGTGTTTGTGATTCGTGATTGTGTTTGTGGTTTGCGTGTTTGTGGTTGTGTGTTTGTGGTTGTGTTCGTGGTTGTGTTTGTGGTTGTGTGTTTGTGGTTGTGTGTGTGATTGTGTCTGTGGTTGTGTGTGTGATTGTGTCTGTGGTTGTGTGTTTGTGATTGTGTGTGGTTGTGTGCTTGTGATTGTGTTTTTGATTGTGTGTTTGTAGTTGTGGTTGTGGTTGTGTGTTTGTGGTTGTGTTTGTGGTTATGTGCCGTGGTCGAGGTCCGGCAGGGAGGTCCGGCAGGGAACACTGGGCGCGGATGGTCGTGGTTAAGGTCCGACGAGGAGGAGAAGAAGAAGGAGGAGGAGGAGAAGGAGAAATTAACTAATATCAAATCTAACAACCCTTACCTGATAGGTGGGGAATAACTTATATATATATATTTTTTTTTCTAGGTAATATTACGATGAGGCTTATTAATAGATGTATACACGTAATTCGATTAGATTAAACATTTAAAAATATTGTAAAGATTTTGAGATTTTTAACGAAGATATGTTTCTTAATTTTATATTGGTGTTCGGTTTTAGGGTTTATGGAAAGGATTCGAAAAATTTTAGTTATATTGAAAATTTTGAATGGTTTATTTTTTCGGTGTTTGTTTCGATATAATTTAATTTTATTAATTATTTTATATTATTTTATTGATTATACTATTAAATATAAATAATATATTTGATCGATTTTTTTTAGGTCGATGGAAATATAATTATATAATTGATGATTTTGAAATAGAAAATAATTGTGAGTTTGTGGCCTATAAATCGCCGCTCGTAACAATTATGATTCATGGGGACTAAAGAGGGCTTTTAAATTAAATTGAAGACGACGTAGACCAAAAGGCAATTTATGCTTTTATTCCGTATTTGGTTTCTCTTTGTGATTTCGAGCGTATTCGGGATAGGATTTGGTTTTGACACTTTGTTTTTCTCATCGGTAACGGAACCGCCGATAATACGTCGGCTTTAATAACGCCGCGCTCCGAAATCTATATTATATAAAACCTCTTTAGGGAGG